GGGGTCGGACTAGATGATCTGCTCAGGTCCCTTCCAACCTGACTATGAAACTATGAAACTATGAAACATATCCTGGCACGTTGCCTTGGCAGTGTCTGCTCAAATGTCATGCTGCAAAGGTCATGCTGCATCTTCGTTATGCCATTAGCCGTTAGCAAGGTCCTGGCCCCAAAAACCTGCAGCTGAAATAGAGGAGACAAAGAAAGGAACAAACTGGACCCGAGGCACGGAGAGAGATTAAGAGCCAAATCCTATTGCACCTTTATGTGCTGAAGGAGCTCTCAGCCGTGTAAGCACAGGTTTTGCCGCTTACCCAGGGTTTTAGACTCTGGTGGAATAGGATTCATAGATTCATAGATATTAGGGGCTGGAAGGATTGCCAGGATACATACATAATTGCCCAGAGAAAAATGGAGGACTCTCCCAACTTCTAGCCCAGTAGGTTGCTGGGAGTGGGAGACTTAGCCCAATAGCCACTTTGAGGCTTCACCAAACCTGATGGGACTTGAACCTACTCTCAGCATGCTTTAATCGCCAAGCCATGGACCTGGCATGGTCCAAAGCATCCACCTCATGGTGCTGGCTCACTGAGAACCTACAAAGGAAAGATATATGGGAGTGAGCCTTGAGGAGCGTGGTTCAGTGAAATGGATGCTATCGTGGAAGGTAGGGTTCCCAAAGCTGTGCATCTCTTAATGCAATCATTATTAAATGTAGGGTGCGGCAAAGCTACAGGGAACAGGGCCAGAAACCAGGCTCTGCTGCCCCCCAAGATAGTATCCATCTCCCTGGGAGCGAGTAACAGAGCCCCATTGTCCAGAACCTCAGCCCTGTGTCTAAGAGGCAGGGAAATCTTTTGCTCCCTGGAGTATGCTGGTGATTTATAAGAGACACAACAGCTTCCGATAACAGCAGCCATCCCCACTTACTCTGAAGTGTCTGGTGCTGGTCACAGGCTTGCTGCTGTCCCAGTAGCAAGAGCCACTTTGGCAAAGGCTAAGTGTCTCTGCAGGTGGGCTGAAGTAGCCCAGCGACCTGGGACACAGTCCTTCCCTGTGACCTGCACCCAAATGTTCACAGGCTGCGCTTCTCATAGCTAGCATGACCACGCATCTCAGTTTGGGCAGGACAGCTCCAGATTTCAGAGGCCGGTCCCGGCTGGCCGGTGAAAACTAAAACAAGTGTCCGGGGTGGGTAGGCAGAGCCGCAGGAGCTGTGAAATAAGAAGTCCTAGCAGGTAGCAAAATTGCCCTAAAATAGGTTCACTTGATTAGTGGAAGGATGGTTAAAATGGGGATTATTAACACCTGTGAAGTGAACAATAATGGGGCATTAACAGGCCATTGACTCCCTTACCTGCCTGAATAGTAATAGCATGCCACCCTGCCTCCACCTTTGTCTGCAGCAGCAGGGCAGGGTGGGCAGTGTCCCAGATTTCACATTGTCCCACACCGTCTACATAGCAGACTGAGGCATAGATGAAACATTGCATCTCACCATTAAGTAGTGCCCCCAACACACCAGTAATAGGGGTTTTTCTCCTCTCTATCCCCCAGGTGCCTATTCCCTGTCTGTGAGAGACAGTGGTGCTTCCAGCGGTGATATCATCAAACACTACAGGATCCGCACCCTGGACGGCGGGGGGTACTACATCTCCCCAAGGACCGCCTTCTCCTCGCTGCATCAGCTCATCCATTATTACTGCAGTAAGTCGCCCGCTTTCCCTTACGATGAGCGTAGACTCACTGGCTGGCAGGGGGAGGCTGCAGGACATTCCTCGGGGCAGAAACGGCCAGGGTGGCCATGCCTGATAGAGGGGGCAATAAAAGCAAGAAGTGATGTACAAGGAAGGCCATAGAGGCTTGAGTCAGCCGGCAGTCCATGGTGTGCATGCCCTTCTCTTCAACTCCCCCCCTGCCCAA